GCGAGGACCGGTGCCTCCACCAGCGCTGCCTTTAGCTGACCAAAAGCAGCAGCACAGTCTTCGCTCCACTCAAACCCCCGGCCTTTGTTTGTCAGCTGATGGAGGGGCGCCGCCACTGTGGCAAACCCTCTCACGAACCGCCGATAGTAGGATGCCAGTCCTAGAAAGCTGCGCAGCTCCGCTATGTTCTGCGGAGTGGGCCAGTCTCTCACCGCAGCCACTTTTTCCGGGTCCGTAGCCACGAAATATAAGCCTACATCTCCAAAAAATTTCAATTCAATTCAAATATATTTGTATAGCACCAAATCACCACAAAAGTAAACTCAGGACACGTTACAAAGTAAGGTCTAGACCTGACTATTATTATTATAATAGCGGAAAAACCCAACAAATCCTCCTTGAGCAGCACTTAGCAACAGCAGAGAGGAAAAACTCCCTTTAATGGAAGAAGCCTCCAACAGGTGGGCGGCCTTCTGCCTCGACTGGTTGGGGTGAGTGGATAGAGGACAGACAAAAGGAAGAAAAGCAACAAGACACAACAAATACAGCAAACAATCAAATCAATAAAATCCATTCATTACTTTTTGAGTTATGTTGTTAATAAACAAACCAGCAATGCCAGGAAAAACAACTTCCACCTTTGGCAGGGGTAACTAACAAAATACTCTAGTGAGAACTATACTAAACAAAACAGCACATGAAACAAAAAAAGCTCAAGCTGATTATAGAAACTAAATATGAACACTATGCAAAAAGATGAAAATGAGAAAAACTGTCAGGGACCACGACAAATATTAAAAACAAAAAGAAGAACCATGATTAACATGCAAAGTAAACAAAGAAAATGAACAAATAAACCAGAGTCCATGAAAGGGCAGAGGCCAGGCAAAAAAAAACCAAATGAGAACAGGCAAAGACAAAGCAGGTGATGATAACATGAGATGAAACACTTGCAAAAAACATGATGTGATGAAAAGATGAAGCAGCAGCTAACTATGTGAGGTGAACATAAAGCCAGGGAATCACATGAGCAACAGGTGAAGGCAACTGAGGGCAATCAGTGGCAGTTAAAGTTCTGGTTGTTAAGATAACAAGAGAGAAAATGACTACAAAATAAAAGCACAAAACAGGAAGTTGTACCAAGTTGATACATGCAGTGTTTCAGCTAATTATCAGATTTTACAATTAAAAAACAAACAATATCAGCCAAATTGAAATACACTTAAAAATTGCTGAATGCGCTAAATTATTGAAGCTTAATGAAATATGAACACATCTTAAATTGATGATGTGTTGATTAAGTGTTTTCTGAGCAATTTAATTATGTTGGCTCTGACCTGAATAAATGAATATCTTTTTCACTTCAGTTGGTCAGAAGGAACATTACATACAGTAGCATTTTACAAACTTCAATAAATGGAGACATGTAGTAACTTGTAACGATGGCAGTGTAGCCCTCACTGGTGCAGACTAAGCTAACAGCAGTCCCTTACTGTCCTCAAATAAACCACAGTGAATTCTTCACCTGTGGCTATTTTTAGCTGGTGTGTTACAGTAAATGTTGTCTGCAGCATTTGTTGTGTTTGACTTGTGTTCTGGAGACTGCAGCATCATAAGAGGAAGTAAAAACTGTTAGGCTGCCTTAAGCCAAATAAAGAATACAACTCCAACAATTCCTCTGTGTGGAGGACATTTCCATGGTTACATGTTAGATTCCAGAAGGATGAGGTACTGGTTTCTGATTTCTGTCTAATATCTCACTCTTTTTCTACATTCACGCAGCCACAGAAAATATCATCAAGCTTTGTTTGAATGATCCAGTAAAATCACTTTACCAACTTTGTGTGAGTTGAAATCTTCCCTTTCCTCCACCCCTGGACAGCTTTACTGGTATTTGGAAAGGATTTTTGTGTTGTGGAGCTTTTGTAACAAAGCTGACAGCAGATGGGCAAAGTCAAAGTCAAAGTGTTTATTGTCATATGCACACTACGGATACGCATTTCCCTGTACAATGAAATTCTTACTTTGCCATCCACATGAATGCCACACAATACAAATGAAATATAAAGTAGATAAATAAGTAACACAAAATCTAAGGCGCTTTAAGCAGCAAATGAAAGAGATATAATAAAAATATATAAGAATATAATAAGAGAATGTATGCTACATGGGAGCAGCATGTGCAGTAGTGAACAGTCAATGTGCAATTATGCATGTGCAAACTGAGAATGTAAACAGTACAGGTCGTCAGTACATCATTACATGACATATTTCCTGGTAGTAAACTCCTGTCAGCTGTTTAGGAATCTGATGGCAGAG